AAGGGCTGGGGTTCCAGAAGCAGGCTGTGGCCAAGAGACTTACTTGTCAGCTGCCAAACTAGCCTGCCTGGTTGTAGAGCTTAAAATGTTTCCCAGGCAGCCAGCCTCCCTGCCTGGCCATGTGCTTCATGTAAAACTGAGATGAGAAGAGGGGGTATGGTTCTTCTTAGCTGCCTGATTTTCTAACAAGAAGCTCCCATTGGCTGGTTTCTGCCAGAAACTGGCGAATGGGAATGTGCTGGGGGCGGGGCAGCTCCTAAAACATTCCCCCTTCCCTCCAGTTTCAAAACAGAAACAGAGCCCTGCAGCCGCGTTTCTGGATCTGGTGGCTTGGCGGGCTGAATCTGGCCTGTGGGCTGCATTTTGCCCAGCCCTGTTCTTTCCACATGCTCAGGGGCTAACTTGTTATCATGTGAGGGGTCAAGAAGGAATTGTCATTGAGTCATAATGTCAAAGACACTGGGGATTTCCACCTTCCTTGGCAGCATGGGGCCAGGGTGAAGATAGCAGATTATCTGTAATTTGAAGTCTTTAAATCATAATGTGAGGATTTCAGTAACTCAGCCAGAAGGTTGAGGAAATCACAGTAATCAGATTATGGAAAATCATGTGTTTAAACCCATTTGCAACTCTTAGGAGTGGAACTCTATGTGGCATAGAGGAAAAGAGAGAGAGAAAGGATGCATTTTCTAAGGTTTAAATGAAATAAGCAATTTTGAAAATGAGTTAACACTAAATTTAACAAGAATCTATAGCTATAAGCTATAGGTCAAGGAAGGGCGAGTGAGGTTTTGTGAACTGAAATGTACAGGAAGTCAAACTAGATAATCACGATGGTCCCTTCTGACCTTAAAGTCTATGAGCATATAACTTCTATATTGCCTTCAGGCTTCATGAAAACCACAAGAAATTTAAAAAGCTAGTCAATAAATTCAAATTGCTCCATTTTATAAGACAAAAAAAATCTACATACATTCCTTTATAACAGAGAAAACAGCAAGCAAATGGTCTGGTAGCACTTTATAGACTAACAAAACATGTAGATGGTATCACGAGCTTTTGTGGGCACAGCCCACTTCTTCAGATACCATCTACATGTTTTGTTAGTCTATAAAGTGCTACCAGACCATTTGCTTGCTGTTTTCTCTGTTATAAAGGAATGTATGTAACGGAGGGCACTTGTTCATAACTTTATGTGGAGTCCTCAACCATATGAGTCATAATATTACTTTGCATCCTGAAGGATCAATCAGACAGAGAGGATGTGTGATGACAACTCCTAAAAGTATTTATTTACCTCTAAAAACACACTAATTTCTGATACTTTGATTTTTTTTAATGTGCTATGGTTACAATTTGAATACTTGAATATATGTATTTATTATTAATCAAAAACTAAAGCTAAAAGACTAATAGACCAGAATTTGAGGAAATCATGGTAATCAAATAATGAAAAATCATGTGTTTAAACCCTTTTGTAACTCTTAAGACTGGGATTCCTTTGGCATAGAGGAAAAGATAAAGGATACATTAGTCTGTTCTCTAAAGTTAAAACAAAATGAAGTATACAAATTTGAAAATGTTAAACACTAAATTTAACAGGTGTACCTGGATTTAAATAAACCTTTCATATAGTGTTCCTTATATTTTATATATAAGGAGTCCATAAAGAATTTATTTTCTCTAAATCCATATTTTAGAGTAGTCTTTTCTTTCACAGATTGAATACTCAGATGCACAATATAGCTTAACTGGAATGCTCTCCTAGCAACCAGCTCAAACTGTACTCTTTTATCCATGGATATATCTGAAGTCACACCCTCATTTTAGTGTGCAACAGGCATATCACAAATCAGCCTTTTCTGAGAGAACTAGCAACAACTGAGAGAGTGCTTTATACTCTGTCAGAGGGAGTGAATACTAATTGGTTTATAATTTGTTTGCATTTCTCAAACGAGTGAGTCACAGGAAGAATTCATGGTGTATTTTCTATTATTAATGGAAGTCATACTTTACCATGGGAGTGACAATAGGCAGCAGGGGAAACCATGGATACTTTTTAATATATAAAAAAATACTCTCTTTGATCATTTCATTGGTCTGAAAGTAGGATGACCAGGTGTTCGGTTTTCAACTGGGATCCCCGGTCGAAAAGGGATCCTGGCAGCTCTGGTCAGCACCGCTGATTGAGCCATTAACTATCTGATTGGCAGTGCCGCACAGTGGGGCTGGCAGATTGGTTGCTAGCCTCCATGCTACGCAGCTCCCAGGAAGCAGCTGGCATGTTCACCCTCCAGCTTCTATGCATAAGAGGCCAGGGCATCTTGAGGGGCTTTGCATGCTGTCCCTGCCCCAAATGCCACCATGTAGGAGCTGAGAGGGCATACCACTACTTCCAAGAACTGTGTGAGGTAAGTGCTACCTGGAACCTACACCTCTTACACCTCCAGGCCACAACCCCCTGTTCCAGCTTTGATTCTACCTTCCACCCAGCAGGTCCCTCAGCCACAGCCCAGAGCCTCTTCCTGCAACCTAAACCCTTCATCCCCCAGCCTCACCCCAGAGCCTGCACCCCCAGTTGGAGCCATCAGGTCCTCCCACAACTTGCCCTGTTAGCCGGCACAGTGAAAATGAGTGAGTGAGTGAGTGAGTGAGTGAGTGAGTGAGTGAGTGAGTGAGTGAGTGAGGGTGACTAGGGAATGGAGTGAGCGGGATGGGACATGGGGAGGGCCTTGCAAGGGAGGTGTTCGGTTATTCCCGGGTACAAAGTTGGCAACCTTATTTGAAAATCCCCTCCCTGCCCAAGCCTAGTTCTCTGGAAGCTTGACCAGTGTTTCAGATATCATGATGTCAGAGAGTTGCCCACAAGTTGCAAGAAAAGTAAGAAAAGTAGAAGAATGTTGTAGCTCAGTTATGGACTGATTATGAACTGTGCTGATTAGGCCTCAGCTGGAGTATTGAGTCCAGTTGTGGGCACCATGTTTCAGGAAAGATGTAGACAAATTGACTATGTCTGCACTGCTGGTTTTGCCGGCAGCGAGTATGCAAATGAGGCATGGATTAGCATATCACGGTGCCTCGTTTGCATAATTTATGCAAGCCGTTTTTGCACAAAGGGTTTTTGTGAGGGGGGGGGAAAAAAGTAGCGTGGACATTTTGTGTTGCACAAAAACCCTATTTTGTGCAAGATCCTTATGCCCCTCCGGGAGAGGCATAGACGAAGCCATTGTGTAGAGAGTCCAGAGAAGAGCAACAAAAATGATTAAACATCTACAGAGCATGAGCTATGAGGGAAGACTGAAAGAATTGGGTTTGTTTAGTTTGGAAAAGAGAAGACATGATAGCAGCTTTTAAGTACCTAAACGGATGTTACAAGGAGGAGGGAGAAAAATTACTCTCCTTAACATCTGAGGATAGGACAAGAAGCAATTGGCTTAAGTTGCAGCAAGGGAGGCTTAGGTTGGACATTAGGAAAAACTTGCTAACTCTCAGGGTGGTTGAAGATTGGAATAAGTTGCCTAGGGAGATTGTGGAATCTCCATCTCTGGAGATATTTAAGAGCAGGTTGGATAGACATCTATCAGAGATGACCTAAAATAAGCAATAACAATGTTTCATTTCTGCCAGGGTAGAAAGGTAGCAGTATGTTGCTTTGATCTGTAGGGCCACTTAGGGTACGTCTAGACTACAGGCTTTTGTCGACAGAAGCTTTGTTGACAGATACTGTCGACAAAGCTTCTGTCGACAAAGAGTGTCTACCCTGTAGTCTAGACACAACCCTAGATGCAATAACACCTTCTGTCGACAGAACGCGTTATGCCTCGTAAAATGAGGTTTACCAGCGTCTACAAAACTGCTGAGTTCTGTCGACGTTATGTCGACAGAACTCAGCGGTAGTGCAGACGCAGGTAGAGTTTTGTCGACAAAACTCTGTAATCTAGACACACCCTACTCTTCAACTCACTATTGGTGGGTCCTAAATAAATTCTTGCCCTACTTCTTGGCTCAGGAGGCGGTGAAACCATGCATTTTAGTGAGAAAGAGGATAATGAACTTCAGAACTCCAAAGCAGATGCAAAATACTTCTTTTCCTCCCCAAAATATACCTAGTAGAGTAAACTTCCAATAATCCAGCACCTTTCAACCCAGGGGGTGCCGGATTATCGGATATGCCAGAGTATCAGGAGATACTCCGGAAGGGGAGCTGTGAAGGGTTGAGGGGGGGGGAGGGGGGAAATGGCGCGGCGTGGGGCGAACCCTCCACCGTTATGCAGGGAGGTGGAGGAAGCCCCGCGCACCTGCTGCCTTCTGAAACTGACGAGTGGAGGACTTGGAGAAGCCAGGGACTGAGCAGCTGGGGTGCTGCCCGGTTGGTCCTGGAGCGCCGCCCCTAACCTCCCTGCTCGGTGCCCAGCAGCACTCTCAGCTGCTTTGCTCCGCAGCTTCCCCAAGTCTGCCGCTTGGCGGAGCAGAGCATCTGGGGTGCTGCCGGGCGCCGAGCAGGGGGGTGAGGGTCGGCACTGCGGGACCAACTCGGCAGCACCCCAGCTGCTCTGCTTTGCGCATCTTCCCCAAGTCCGCCACTGGTCAGTTTAATCAGCGGCAGCAGCACACTTGGGGAAGCGGTACGGAGAAGCTCCAGTTGTCTTCTGGCTGGAGCACTTCCGGATTCCAGTTGGTGCTGGACTATCGGGAGTGCCGGACCACTGGATGCCGACAATTGGAGTTTTACTGTAGCTCAAACATTCAAAAATGTAAAATAAAAATTGGAGTAAAAATATTGTATACCTTTATTAACAACGTAACATTCCCCAGTGTCATCACCACCTTTTTTGCTTTTGAATTTTCATATTTGACAAACTGATCTTTTTTTTAATGTATCTGTTTTCCCTTCCACTTAGTTTATAGAAACTGTTGTTTACCAGTTAAAGGCATTGTATCCCTTTTCCAAAAGCTCTACTACAAGGAGTATCTCATGAATATCTCTTTTTCTTTTCTAGTTGACTCCAGTGTGGACGCATTGGCTGTGTTTATGGCAAGCAGTAGCACAACCGACGTTGTGAATCGCAATAATCCTGCCACTCCCCCTAATACTCTTAACTTGCGCTCCTCCCATAATGAACTGTTGAATGCGGAAATGAAGCATACAGAAACAAAGAACAGCACTCCCCCAAAATGCAGGAAAAAATATGCATTAACTAACATTCAGACAGCCATGGGCCTTTCAGATCCAGCAGCACAGCCCCTTCTGGGGAACAACTCTGCTAATATAAAGCTGGTGAAGAATGGAGAAAATCAGCTTAGAAAAGCAGCAGAGCAGGGGCAGCAGGATCCCAACAAAAATCTCACTACAACTGCAGGGATAAACATTACTTCTGAGAAGTTAGAAGGTAAAGAAGCAACCCCTCAGGATTCTGCAGGCTGCGAAATATTCTCCTCTCAACCTAGGAGCACCAAGAGCTTCCTAAATTACTATGCAGATCTGGAAACATCAGCCAGGGAATTAGAACAGAATTTTGGGAACAGTCATGTAGTGATGGAGGAGAAAGCAGCACAAAGTAACAGCCAGGCTTCCACCGTGATTGTCAATGGGGATATACTGCCTCAGAAACAAAACAAGCTGTCCAGTCCAGAAGATGGCCAAGTAGCCACTGTATCATCAAGTCCTGAGACTAAGAAGGACCATCCTAAAACTGGAGCCAAAACAGATTGTGCATTACATCGGATTCAAAATCTGGCTCCAAGTGATGAAGATTCCAGCTGGACAACGTTATCACAGGACAGTGCTTCTCCAAGTTCACCTGATGAAACAGGTACAAAAGTGAAGAAATGTTTTCCTCAGCTCTTAGTAACTACCACTCTAAAATATGTTTGGCATTTCTCTTTAATCTCATTGTGCAGACAGTTGGGGATAAGTGAGACAATCTGAGGCAAAAAAAGAGAAATTGAAAATAGCAAGATGCCCCTTAATGCTCTTTACCAAGCAGTAGCTTGTTTTGGGAGAGTGATGAGCTACAAGATAAGGCTAGATAATCACTATGGCCTCTTTTGACACTGAAATACATAAAGTAGAGCATAGCTAAACCCAAAGGTTAGATTGTTGCATGGCTCCTCATGAAGTTAATAAAGCTGACAACCTTCTATAAAAGGGACTTTATCAGGTACCACAGCTGTAGTCCAGTGATGATGGATCCTGAATTAGACTTTAATTTTTTTTTAAATCTGAAGTTTTAATTACTTTTAAATGATAATCATTCATTTCTTTTAAACACCTAACCCTTTGTTGCTGAGAAATTATTCATATAAAACAAACAGAGGGTGCATCTAATGCAAATAGTGGTGATGTTAACTGGTCATTCTAGTACATGATAGACGAGTACGAAACCTACAGGGTAAAAGATGTTACTTTTCAGCTTTTACATGGAGGAAAGATGGATGTTTTAAAAAAAAATTCAAAGTTGTTAGGGGGAAAAAAAAACAATTTGTGACGCTTTTAAATAAAATCTGAAATTTAAATAATACACCTTATGCTGGATGCTATTGTTCTGTATGCTAATTCGGAAGCTGACATCACTGGGCTTCATGTTTTGAGAGCGTGGGTCCCATTAATTATTGGAACTGTAATGATGAGTAGGGTGGTAGCACTGTTGCTATTCTATGTTATTTTTGCAAATAATTCATTTACTGTAGTTAAGGGACATTGTTACTTTTTTGGTTTTGGATTTGTGTAAAAGGACATTAATTTCTGGGGGGACAAATCGCGTTATCTCAAATCCTATTCTCTGTCCCCAGTTGATCTTTACTAGGTATGCAGTAAACATGAGTTTCACTACGGCAGTACTTTACTTTCCTATCAAAATTGTTCAACAGTACATTATTGGCCAAATTCACAGCTGGAGTAAATCCATCCCATGCTTGTGATTTCATTGGAGTTATGCCTAGTTGACGAAGTGGTATATTTGGTCCTGTCAACTATAAGTATTAAAAATATAAAACAAACTAACACAAACTCCAAACAAACCATTAATACCAGGTGTGTGCTATTTTTAGTTCCTTTCTCCATTATTAATAATTATTAATATTGTATTGCATCAGCATTTAGAGTTAGAGATTTCTTTTTATCAGACTAGATATGGTCAGTGTAATAAGATCTCAGTTTCTGATTTGAAAGTCTTTCTTCGTGTGTATCATGTACAGGCTGCGACTTGGTTGTCTAAAGCAAGAAACTAGTTAAAGAAAATGTTAGTGGCATCTACAGTGTATGTTTGATTAAATTGTTTAATATTGTGTCCATTAGCTCTCCGCGTAATTGATAGTTTACACAGCTGAGGCCCTGGAGAACTATGGGTACAAATAAGCTCTTTTATTCCATAATCTTTAGAGGCTTTGAGCAATTTTTGGATATTTTTCCTTTATTGTGGAATGTAAGCTTTCGTTTAAAAATAGTTTTAAAAATATTGTGACAGTTCCCCTCCCCCCCCCGAAACAATTGTCTCCCACAGACAAAAGCAGTAGTAAATAATCTCC